CACACACACACACACACACACACACACACACAACACACACCGCACACACACACACACACAACAGACACACCAGACACCATACACACACACACACACACACGACGACACACAGCACACACACACAACACACACCAACACACACACACACACACACACCACACACACACAACACACAAGCATCTGATGAGTTGGCAATTACTGCATCTGCTGGGTAGACAAGGCCGTCCCCAGACACAGCCGCCCGCTCATCTCGACACCCACACACAGCGGCGAGAAGAGAAAGTCGCTTTCGAGCCTGGATTTAAAATAGTCAGAGTCGCAAGCAGACGCAGGTTTGTGGGAGTTTGATCGATGTTTGGAGCATAAACTGAACTTCTCCAGCGTTTAGTTCTGACTGCTGGGACAGGAAGCTGACCAGTAAGACCTGAGAGATTCTGGACGGTTCCTCCATCAGACCTCATGCTTGCCTCTTGGTGACAGCATATGGATTCATTGAGGCGGACAGGCATCATGGCCTCGCTGCTACATGCACGCCAGCATTTATAGCTTGTTCACGGTTGCAGAGCGCCGTATACAGCTCTCTATAGATTCAAGTTAGCTTGTTTTTCAACATCCATCATTCTCATTTATGTTAATGTTCTGTCTAACTAGAACACTTCACAAATATCTCCAGTGAATACTGAAAAGTAGCGACGCAAATACAACATTCAATCAAAAACGTATCCCCGCGGTCCACTGGTGTCCGTGAGCCGGGCCCTAGTGGGTCTGTTGATGATGGATTTGGTCAAATTTCAACATTGAAGTAAATAAAAAAAAATTCATTTCAGGCGACAACACGCTTGGTCACACAATTGGGGGCGTGCAGCCTGTTGTAGCCGAGTTTTTCAGGCCAATTTGCTAAGTCTGGTTGAGGTATATGTCGTATTTGGTGGATGTAGTGGTCGCGCTAGTGTTTTTTTGATGGTAAGTGGTGCCGTTGGTATGAAAGTTTGGAGGAAACACTGCGACTAAGCTCGGTCTGAAACCAGAGCCCAGTCGCTCTGATTGGTTAGGCGGCCGCTCTTGTTTTGTGATGCGTCAACGTACAATGTGTTGAGCCCCGCTTAACAAAGGAATTGTAGCCGTCTGCCAGAACCAGCTTTACTACACAAAAACCTATATAACATCCTAGAGGAAAGGCAACCAGGCGGCAAATAGGCCTCTTTAATGAATAAGCCTGCTCAAATGATCAACATCTCTCATCTGCTCAGCGCTCAAAGCAAGAGGAGGCAAAGTCAGCCGTTACAGAGCGGAGATACACAATAAATGATATTTGCACTTGGTCCCCAGATTCTCGGGCCACCGAATCGAGGACAGCCCGAGCAGGGCCGCCGTAGTTCTCGTACAGGTTACAAGACTGATGCTGTTCCTGTCCCCCGGTGCCACAGGTGTTATATGGCAGGTGTTTGGTGAAGTAAAGCTCATGTTTTGCCCTTTTGGACAGGAACGTGTAACGGTCGGAACACGCACACACTTTGACCTACTTCAATATGAGTTAATGGTTTCCTGCCTATCTGCTTTATTATCCTTAGCGTTATGAGTGTTTAGTCTGTAAACATTGGGAGATCTGTGAGCGAGACGGACGAGACATTTTGGGCAATAAAACACTAGAGAAAAACTTGGAGAAAACCAGCCTTTCCCACCTTTCATGAAGAGCAGCGCCGATGCACACAACAATGCTAGGAACATAAAAATTATATTGTAAGAATAAAAAAGATGGTACAATACATTTAATTATAATAAATATTAAAATATTTGACTGTTTAATGAAAATGATGAATAAACATCAGCATGTCAATTCTGGGAACATGCTTCCCCGGACTCATCGAGTACAGCAGCTGCCTGATGGTAACAGGCTTAATGTTAGATAGATATTAGAAAAATATAAATATAATAATAATATTGAAAAAGTTAACAATAAATAATAACAATAATGAAATCAAAAAAAATAATAAAAAAATAATAAAAAATAAATTAAAATCTTTTTTTAATTTGTTTTATTGAGAATATTCGGACTGTTTTATGTAAAAAAAAATAAATAGATGTCTCATTTTCTGGTCTTATTCGCCTGTAAAGTTTTGTTTTGGTTTTGATCAAAGTCACTGTATAGACCAAATCGAGGTCAGGAAAAACGTACAGAATGTGCCCCAGTCAAGAGATTGTTTTTGTTTTACGTTGGATTAACGCTGAGGTCGAAATTGAAATCTAACTGGGAAATCTACCAAGTTCAGGTCTATAGGCAATCATGCATTGTATATTAAACACATTAGGAATTGCTTTTGTGAGATTTTAATTGTGTGCAAAAGGCACTTTAGGCTAATATTAAATAGTACAATCCAACCCATAGTGAACAGTGAACTTATGTACTGGGATGTACTTGGGAATGACTGTTGTTAGATTTTCGTCTCCCGATACGATCGTTTGAAGCCACTTTTAACAACGGTAAGCAAGAGCGATAGAATGACACGTACTCGCAGCGATCCAGATGAAACAGGTCCTGCTTCTCGGGTTTCTGATAAATCAGGCACAGATGTCACGGCCAGCCAACACAAACACAGCTGTGTTACGCTACGGTTACGCACAGAGCTCTGAGTTTGATCCTGCAGAGTTAGGTGGGGGAAATCTTGGAGGAGCAAAAGTGAGAGACCCTACTGGATGGATCCGGAGTCTGAGGTCAGAGGAAACGCAGAGATCTGGACACACTCTTGCGGATGGAGTGGATGTGGCCCTTATGGCCCATAAAAACACCCTCCAGCAGTTGGGGTAGTTACTCTGGAACGCAGGAGCACAAGGGTTTCATACAAGACAAAGTTGAAAGTAACATTCGCAATTGCAAGGATACCGAGAATAGTCGAAATATGCGGACACATGTTCTACAGAACAAGATAAAGAATTACAAATAAAAAAAGGTGGAGGTTTCATTCTCACACAGAAACAATCAGCCATTTCCCCTGGATCCACGACCTGCTTCCTATCTTGTTGAGGAGACCTACCTGGCATTCGCAGCCGCCCCCTTGGCCGCGTTAGCACGAGAGGCGGCGGTGAGACGACGTCCAGGATCAGCAGCTTTGAGGGCTGCGAGGCCAACGTCTCCACCTCCGGCTGGTGGGTCATGGGGAGGAGCTCTGATACACACACGAGGGAGCACAGAGAGACACGTCACAAGTGCGACCCAGGTCGCTACAGCAGTAGGTGTTACTGTGATTGTCTATTCAGACACAACTAATGGTCAATTTAAAGAAACGCCTTAGGCCAATAGCATTCTTGAGTTCCTGTAAATCTGGACATGTTTTTTATAACGGTATACTATCTGAGACCTATCATGTATGCTAAAAATAGTATCATAGGATGCCTTTAAGCTCTTACCAAAGTCAGGTCTGCAGGTCGGTGACCGTTGCGTAGCCCCCCCCCCGTTGGTGAGGTGTTTCCTGGAGGATCCTCCCACACAGCGCAGGCTTTAGCATGGATTGCACAGGTGCTCATCGTCAGCGTTCCTCCAGCCCCACCAGCGCACTCCGGCTGGCCGCAGGCGGGCGATCACTGCTCCCTCGTCTGGTGCCTGTGTGGGTGTGTGTGGCTGTGTGTGTGTGTGTGTGTGTGTGTGTTGTGGTGTGTGGTGTGTTTGTGTGTGTGGGCAGAGAGGGAGAAGTTAGAGAAGTTAGCCAACAACACTAACATTCATGTAGCCTCACTGTCTTAAAAGGAGGTATATATGTTCTGCTACTCTCAAACTCCTCGCTCCACAAAGCTCTCCTTTTTTCCAAAACGTATGTATTTCATATAATCGATGATAAACCTAACTTCCATGAAATTCCATGTTGTACCACATAGTCAAACTGCATTTTGTGTTTACTATCTGTGACGAAGATGGCTTCGTCCACTGTGGACTGACGGCTTCGGGCTTTGTATATTGCACGTGTTTTATTCTGAAAAGTGTTCCTTATCCCCTTGTCTGTTGATTGGTTCACTGGTGCCCTGTGTTGTCTCCTCCCCCCCCTCACCTGTGTCTTGTTTGGGTTAATTAGTGTGGGTATTAGGCTCCGTGTTTCCTGTTAGGTTAGTGTGTTGAGATCCTTGTGCTGTGTTCACCTGGGCAGCACTATGAGCTGTGTCATGAACCACAGCCATGAATAAATGCCCACACCGGGTTATATTTGAATTATCTGTCTGCCTCCTTGCTTGTCGGGCCTCTCAACGCGTCAACTTCACACTATCCTACAAAACCAGGACCATAAAAACTGCACAGAACAAAACCAGGACGGAGCTTCCATCCATGGAGGACCTTTACTCCCAGCGGCTCAGAAAGAAAGCCCTCCTGATTATCAAAGACCCCAGCCACAAACTGTTCAGTCTGCTGCCGTCTGGCAGGCGGTACCGCAGCATCCGGACTAAAACCACCAGACTCAGAGGCAGCTTCATCCCACAGGCAAGAAGACTATTAAACACCTGAACTTAGAAACAACATCCATAACATTCATCTGGCTGCTACTTAGAAATTATTGATCTATTTACCTAATATATCATATTTCAATGACTTGCATGTAGACTCTTAATGCACTATTTCACTTGTTTTCTTCTTGTATTTCCTTGCACTATATTTGTTCTGTGTATCTGTGTTTTGTGTTGCTCTGTTGAAGAAGCCTGTGACACAAGATTTTCATCGACATAACACCACTGAAGCTATGTTCGTTTGACGAATAAAGAACCTTGAACCTATATTATATTTTTGACAATTATACTTTTGTTTATATTTATCGTTTTTTACCCTCATTTAAAATAATATTTTCATTATTAATATATATATTTTTTTAATTATAATATATATTATTATTGTTATTTGTATTGTATTATTGATTATTTGTTCACCTTTTGTTTACCCTTATCACTACTACATATGATGCTAACGTTATGGCATGTTCTATCTTTATTTGTATTTCTAACATGTATTGACAATAACACATTATTTATTTATTTTTGTAAGTTGTATTTGAGCTGAGAGTTTTTCTTAAACCATTATAGCTTAAAAAAGGAATAATCTGAGATCAAACAAACTTCTTTGGTTTCTCATAACTCATCTGAAATACAACGGATCGAACATTTGCTTTTCATTTTCAACACTGGCTTTAGTCTTTTTTCAACAAAACAAAAACAAACATTTATATCGGGTGTTTTGACCCACAGAAAAGGAAGGGAGGGATCCGTTTCCCAAATAACTCAAATCAAAGGCTGTGAAGCCGTGTTGGTTTAATAAAACAAACACTGCTCACTGCAGCCGTGACGCATAAAACGATAAGGGGTCCCAAGCATAGACTGTATATATAAAGACATAGCCGTGGGAACATGTTTCAAATGGGGGGTGCTGTGGGGATGACACCAGGGCTGGTTCTGACCAATGTGCTGCCCTATAGGCAAGATTTTAGCTGGCAATGAAAAACCTCTACAAAAGACCAATACACTACAAAAAGAGAAACGTATTGACATGGTGGACAGCTTATATAACAAGGCTTCACATTTATTTAGTCTGACAGGACAGAACTCTCCCTCCACATTATTGTAGAAACAGCTTCTTATATCCGTTAGCGCAGCAGAAGCTAACAACGATCCCCGCCGGTACCGCGGTATCCCCTCTCTCTATCTCTCTCACTTTGGCTGCGGGCGCCTGCTAAGCCAACATCCCCCACTTTCATCACTTACAGCGCCCATCGTACAGGGCAAATGGAAAATGTAACCGGGGTGAAAAGGGTGTTATCTTTACTTAATTATGAATGTTGTTACATCAAGGCTGAAAATTCATTTTTTTTGTATTGTGGAAGTGCAGATCCCCTGTCCTCCACCAGGGGGTGCTGCAGCANTTTTTAACATTTTAAAGTAAAATGCTTCAATTTGGTGCACTTTGAGCGCCCAATTAGAGACTGATCTGAGGGGATACAAATCTAAACACCCATGTGAAAAAGATCGGTTTGTCTGTGAACATTTCCAATAACCTACCATAGCCAATAACAAATACATGTAACTTATTTTATTTGTGTTGTTCATTCATAT